ACAGTAGTACAGTAATGATATGATATATATGCGAATGCCTGCAGATAGTACAGACTGACAGATACGATTACTACGRCGGGGTTGGAATGTTCTGTTACACATCAACATCGCACGTGCGATATCGCTCATACTATTATTTTGTTGTTGTATGCATGGTGCTATTATCTATACATATATACTATAATATAATAATATTATTACATAGTTATTGGTTTTACAGCGTGTAAATATTTAATAATGTATGGTCAATTCATTAAGACTTTCCAATGGAATCAGCGATGACCGATAAACCATAAACATAAAAAATAAAAAGTTTTGTCATGTAGGTATGTACAGCTAGTAGATATATAGGTGCATCGACGTTTCGGTGGAACCCTTGACCACGCCTCAGCCCCAGGAATTAGAGCAAAGTCCTGTGGATCGTGATTACCTCAAGGCGATTTTACTGCTCGCGTTTTATTTTTTTCTCCTCCATTCTCTCGCGGTCCAGTCGGACAACGCACTATCTATATGTATATATATATATATATTATAATACATATATAAATTACACAATGATATACTCCAAGCCTTATCAGAATCATTTTTTTTTCTTATACCAACATATTATTCACCTATATACATGCTGCAATAAACCAAACGAAATTCCTAGACAAACACGTGTACGGTAATATTATAATGTAATTCAGTTTGTGATTTTTCGCACATACGCTTTCACCTTCGTACAACTGTTTTCATGGCCAATATAACATAGCTGTACAGTGTGTACACGTYGTATTCTATTATATCGTTATGCCTGTGTGAAGAAATTGCTAGTTATTTCTTGGGATCTAATTACGCCCACGCACTGTATGTATTTGTGTTAAAAATATGGAGTACCCGTGTTGTATAACGCACGCGCATTAATATGTAATCGGTTACGGAGCACATACAAAGCTATAATGTTCTTTTATGTTTCATTTTTCATTTCCTAACCAATTATAATAAGTAATATAATATTTTCGAATCATTTAGGCGCACGAGAAATTACGGATGTGAACTTGACGAGCAAAATCATTAAACAGTAGTTATTTAACGATAAAGAATAAAATGATATAAATTCTTCTAGTTGGCCTTGGAATTTAAATCGTATAGAAAAAGATTACTAATATATAGATGACATGATGTACACAATATGATTACGCCTGGAAAAACGAYCAATGTATAGAAACGATCCGAAACTTTTCACATTTCAATCATTTAATTCGAAACCTTATCAATACTATATGTTACAAAAGTCAACCGTAGACACCAATTATTACTGCATGTTGTGTGTCAGTTCTGTAATATTATAATACAACTTCTAATTTATATTAATAATTTAAATATTTATATTGTGTTATAAGTAATAATTGCCAATTCTAAAATTTGTAGTTTTAAAATAGTAATTATATTTCAACGAAACGGTAAATTATTAATTTTTGGTATGAAGGTAGAATTGTACAGTGTTGTTATTTAGATATTAYATAGATAATTGGGATACTGGGAAAAATTTAATAAACTAACTATTGAACAACGAGATTATTATAATTTTTTACGTAAATTCTTTGTATAATATAACAACCTAATTGGTAATTAAATATGAAATACTAATAATCTGTAACGCAGTTACATGTGAGGGAATTTTRAGACAAATCAACTTGTACATAATAATATATTACCTAAATCTAAAAACAGTTTTTATTATTTCTTTAACTTCCTGATTCTATAAATAAAATTTAAGTACACKTGTGGATATAAAATATTGTATATCATAAATTCATAAATAATTAAAATCCTGTTTATATGGTATACTATGAATTGGGCATGCAATACACTGTAAATATTTTAATCTAGTTCTTCTTTGACGTTTTCCAATTATATTATGAATTAGATTAATGATTTATTACTTTACGGTAACGGGTTAGGTAACTTTGGAAGTATAAATTTATATTATATTTGAACTATTAAAACTATTAAACATCGACCGTCTTATTGTTTGTACTATACAAACGAAAAAAATACCTAATTTGTTTGTGTACTTTATATACCTAGGTATACCTGCATATTATTATATATTTATATCTAAATATATAATTCGCTCTTTAAATAGATAAAATAATATACATTTTAATTGTTAATCGTCTACGGAAGAACTTTCAAAGATACAAGTATAAACCAACATTCTTGTGGTCATAGCAAATTGAATTCTGGTGGTTACTGGTTAACAACAGACGCTAGCGGAATGTGGATTTCTGAGTTTCTAGAACGTTTATTTTTTCTTTTGAAGCGGAGAAAAATACCAAGAAATAATTCAACAATTTTATGAAATATAACGAAGGGTTGACTAATTATAAGGTAGTAAATTGTGAAAAGAGTTAATTGAAAGTTATATTTAACTCGACGCATGTTTCGTAAGAGATTTAAATCGTAATAATTCTCATAAGTCATATTATAGTTGTAGGTATATAGTAAGCTGTTTGATATTCTAAATGAACTCTATTGAACTTCATACATATTTTTTTAATATAATCTATCGAAACAGGAACTCATGTACGTAAACTTGTCAATCACTTTAATACATCAAAAATGTTTTTATATTGTACGTTTGGTGTACACACATTATTTATGCCCAGTCATTATTTTAGCATAAAAGGATTACTTGTCGAAGGTCTGTATAGTAATTTTTGTTTTTACCAATTTCAATTGTATATTCTCAACTTGTGTTATGTGATAAATGTGATTGTAATCGATTTTAAGCGGTTCAACGTATACATTTTAAGACTATAATTCATTAAACTTGATTCGAATTTATGGCACAAAGAATGTACAAATGCTATATAATTTTAAGCGTTGTCTATTTAATCTATTTATGTAAGTGATACGAGTTCAGTGTATGATTATTATTTTCCGCGCACCATAACATCAATGATGCTTCAAGGTCGGCCGTCGGGTTTCAACCTTTATTGGAATGTTCAACCGGTTCTTCCGAGGTGACATTTTCACTATTATCGTATAATACCCGTTTACGTCTTTCCTTAATCGATTAATTTAACAAAAACAAGAAATGCTACAGAAAGGGTGAAGTTAACGTATTCAAACATTATGCAAAATATACACAGCAGCATATATTTTATCGAATTAAATGTGTATTGTCGACAGAAGGATATGTGCGCCGTTCGTGTAATGCTCGACGCCTTCTAGAGTAAGTTTTATACCTATTTATGTTTTTATGGATAAAGACGTGCTAATCCATATACTCAGGTTTTGTGTAATTTGGCACTATATACTTATATAACGAGAATCGTAAAATTGATTAAAAACGAAGTATTTTGTTATGAAAAAACATTAGGCAATAAGAGGTTCGGTCCATCGTTAATATTTTAGGTTTCACGGGATGAGGTCGATCTGCTTGTATAATATGATATAATAATTTTGCAACATAATTTTTAGTTAATATTATTATATTGTATTTGTTTATTAATGTGTACAATTTATATTCTAAAGCTAGTCGACACGCATGACAAGGTGTTTGATGATAAATATTCCTAGTAATGTAATATAATTTAACAACCTTGATAGATATATATATAACTATTATACATGAGAATCATAATCGTGAGTGAGTGACTAATTTAGTAATAATATAATGTATTTAGATCACACTGTACAATACCTAAACATTTCGTTTAAAAAGACAATCAATTTTCCGTAGCAGAAGCAATCATATATTCGTATGTAAAGGAATGAGTCGTCGAATATCTTACTACTCGTCTTAATGGACCTATTGCCCTTGACACTGACTGAAAATATGACCATCGACTATCATACAAATTTGTATCAGAATGTAGAAACGACAAAATTAATTTCACCGAAAACAAACGAACGTGAATTTTCACTTATTTCTTTTACCAATATTTACTCACGCCATGGTTTTTACTTTTGTTTTTCAACGACTAAAATATATAATAGATACATATGTACACATGGGCGTCTATCGCGGTGGAATAAAAACCACAAATTTCGATTTCGCACAATGGGCCCAATATAATATATAAAACTTTCCACGGGATATAACTATAATATGTGCATTGGCCATTGGATTATGAGTTATGACATTCAAAAACATAGAACATAGTTACCTACGAAAATAAATATAATACACAGGTATATATCTCGTGAACAATAGTTATTTCTTTCACTCCACACATTTCACATATATTATATACGATTTAAAAAGGTTTTTTTTTTTAAATCGTGAAATCATCGCGTTCATAAACATAAACATAATCATAAACAACACAACGTGGTGGTATAACTTTATTACTACAGTTTATTCGCTACAATATAATATTATGTTATACCTAGTCGAATGAATGGTTTTGAAAATGTAATTTTGTTTGTATTATAGATAGAATTTTTGACGCCATATAATTAGTTACCGCACGAAAGATGAGTGCGCGCGGGGTGAGCGGTGCGCGTTTTACCAAATTATATAAATGAAAATCGTTTGAAAGACATGACGATTGCGAATCGTTCTTAAATCATTTTCCGCAAATGAGACGTTCATAAATGGATCGAAACCGCGTGACGGAAGTGTCTTTCTTTCCCCCATACTGTATATTTTATCCACGGCCCATTACGTTAAAACTAAAATATATATATATATTTTATATTGTAATGTTGTTTGTACTCTATTTTTATTATATTTTATTATACTCTCCGCAACACCGTTAACACCGTTATTATTACCGGCGTACATGCACTCGGTCTGTATCACACGTCGTCGTTTCACTTTCCATTGCAACATCTTTTCCTATGTATCGTATTTATATCATCATTATTATTATATTACTTTCGATTTTAGTCTCACCGCCCGTAAAAACAAGATCGACTAGTATCATCGTCAATATTTAAATCTTGGACGACTTCATTACCCTTCACGTTAAAAAAAAAAAAATTAGAAAACTATTAACACTTACCTCGGAGTACACAAGCCAGCAACAGCACGACGACGGCGGAGGTCTTGTGGCTGGGTGTCATAATTGACACGCGCTCGCTGACGGGGTTGAATTTTCGTACASTATCAAGTTCAATAGGCGGCCTCCAATGATACGTTGGCTGAACAATATTTTCGACTGCAAACCACTACACTATAAGAGCGGCCGGCGGACTTTTATTGGAAAACCCGTACACTCGGTGCGCAAGTGACATTTAGTTTTTGGGCGAACAACGCGCGTGATTTAAAAAAAATTAACAAAACCGATCAAAAAAATATATATWTTTTTTTTTTAAACACTCGTATCAAACTATTTATCAATGGTATTATATTATATTATATGTCTGTAAATATACGTGTAAATATATTATGTATACGAATTACGGCTAAAGTAAAAAAAAAATACGAACGATTATTATTAATTTTTTCTAATCACAAACTCGCGTTGACTCGTCCTAAACTACTGTTCACACGAGAGTGAAGATTGGACATAGACACAGACACTGTTGGGAGAGAGACGTCGACGCCGCCGTTGCCACCGTCGTTTGGGGAATGAGAGATGACTAGTGGTGAGAGAGAGAGAGAGAGAGAGAGAGAGAGACCGTGTGAGAAGGAGAGACGCCGCATGTGCACTGCAGATATTATACAGAGGAGAGGGTCACTTTCTTATTCAGCCGGACTGCCGTATGCTTGTATGTGTGTAAATGTTTATTTGTGTGAGTGCGCCTATGTATTTTGTTATATATGTGTGTGTGTGATTTGAGTGGAAACGAGAACGCGCCCCGGTGCGACTTGCACAAGACTTGTACAGCGCGACACAAACTGCACCGCCCGGCACCTTTCATTTATCTGCCCGCCTATTTTTGTTATGTTTTTTTTTTTTTTAGTGATATTGGTATATAGGTACTTTAATGCTGCAGGTTTCGGACGGGTGGGTGATTTTGGTCTCCTTACCCGGTTACACACTGTCCGCATAATATACTGAATATACCTACATTGGTCATTATATTATGTATAACGTACATATTATACAATTTTATTGTTTTTTTTTAGGGCGGATCGATATAGGTACATACAGCTCATAGCCACACATTCCGCCGAATGCTATATATTTATTACATTGTATAGAGATCCGCGATCTCGATAATACTGCAATATTATTGTTCCTGTAYTATGTACAATAATATAATAATATATCGACGCGCGGTATAAGGGCGGAACCACAGACGCAGTTATGTATAGGTACGCAATTATTGTGCAACGTGCTAATRTTTATATYATCTAAATTCTAGATATTTTTAATACCTATATCACTCCTGCGCTATAGTTGTCGTGATATTTATTTTTCGCCAATATTGAGTAGGTATCAATAATTATTGAGTTTTCTATGTAGATATAATGGATTTTAGATACCATCCATTAAAATTAAAAATATATTTTTATAAGTACACTGGGTACCTACATTAGTATTTATTTAAATTATGCATATAATAATATATCGCATCTCTTAATCTAAATATATTGACTAATGGACATTGATGTACGTGATTAGGGCAATTTTACGAAGATGTTATTTAGTATAAAGACATATAAGTACATACATACATACACATACTTTTTAAAACATTATGCTTAAATTATGCTCCCAAAAAAGATACTCTAGTTGTAGAGTGTATGTATACGTATTATACGCAACTTCACTATCTATAATCTAATCTAATCTATCATATTGTACAGTATACAATCGTGTAATAAAAAATTCATTTAAATTGACATGTTTAATATTATTTTATCAGTGTACTACCAAAAGAGATACTCTTTTTTTTGTTTATTGTTATGTTTTACACGTAAACTTTTTTAATTGAGTTATTGCAATATTATTGTAGGTAGGTCATGTAATTTATAAGCGCCCTAGTGATAACAACCCTATTAGTTTGTACTACGTATGTAAAAGTAAATACGTAATCGTGCATAGAATATAACCTATATGTATGTTAGTATGTTATTATAATACGGTATTTTTGGATTAACCCTCTTGAACTAAATTATAGGTACCAACTATTAACTCAATCTATCTCTGAAATCAAGAATTTCTAGGTCACTTGTTTTATTAAATTAATTTAACAATGTATTATAGTATATAGTATAGTATTTTGTTTTGTTTTTTCATATACCTATATAGGTACGCTGTTGAATGGATTAAACATAATATATGGCGATTTGAATAGTGGACAATAAACAATACTACGATRTTGAGCAATAGATAAATAAATATTAGGAACCTATCAAGTTTCAAATCTATAACGAAAATAATAGTACCTATATTTGACTTGTGTGGCCCTCGACTTTGGCAATTGTTATAATATGTTGTTGTTAAATGGATAGATTTTAGGAGTAATTTAGGTAATTAGATATAACAAAGCATAACAATAAATTATAATATATCTTCAAGGATGTAAAATTGCTCAACTAATAATAGTTTTCAGTTTTCATTGGACCTGATTAAATATTGTACATTATTGTATCGCAGGAATCTTTTTGTAGACTTTTTATTTTCTGTTGAAAGCATACCTACGTAATCAACAAACTGATTTAATCCAATTTAAATATATAC